GGTGGTTCTACTGGAGTCGAGGTCCCTGGGGACAGGGCAGAGCTCGCTCTGGAGCCTGCACTTGGTCTAAGACTGCCTGCATTATTTCCCCCAGAGAATGCTCTGAGTACTTAATCACAAAGTAAAAAGTTTGGGAATACTTTCAAACAGTATTTTAGGGGAAAAAAAAGGTGTAGGGGGGAGAGATCTGAATGTTTTAAAGCCAGTTTATCTTCTTTTTTTATTTTTTTCCCTAGACTTCAGTATTGATGCCCCTCCGTCCTTCAAACCAGCCAAGAAGTATTCTGATGTCTCAGGTCTTCTTGTGAGTATAATTCCATCTCTACGTCTCACAACACTGAATTGAAAAGATTTCATAGTCCTGTCTGTTCAGACAGTGCTGAATATCGACACTGGTCCTGCCTGGAGGCTGTACACTCTGAATAGGTAATGGGTTTGTGCTGAAGCGTTCACGCATTTATTTTCACGCAACCAGGGGCAGCGTGTGGGCAGCCTGGAGCGAGGACTGCTCCAGAAAGCAGGAGGCCTGACTTTTACTTCCCCTTCCTCTGCTTCTTAATTCTATATGATAACATCAAAAAACCAAAAAAAAAACCAATGATTTCTCTTTTTTACTGCTAAAGTTTAAAAATTTTCCTGCATTTTAGAGATGATATTACTTTAAAAAAAAATAGTTAAACTTCGGTAACGAGGCACTATGGTAAGAGTCATGATTTTCAAACTTATTTTTAAGCATCAGGATCCCTCTTCCAAATGAAATCTTTTACAGAATCCTCTGGGGCCCAGCTACCCACTGTGGTCCCATGTGGATCTGTTCCTCTGTCCTTCTCCCCACTCTCCACCTCAGGGACCCCTGCGGGTGCTCGTAGGAAACACAGTTGAAAACCGGCAGTGTAGTTGGATGAGTGGGACTTGGGTTGAGAACGTCATTTCCTTATTTGCAGAATGTAGACTAAGTGTGAAACTTTCCACTCTCCTTTTTCACTATTATTAAATTTGGAAGATGGGCTTCCTCTCATAATCGTAGAAATAATGAGACTTCACTTTTTAAAACTCATATACATCATTTAAATGCTTTATCCTTTTATGAAAATGTATGACTCCAACTTCTATAACAAACGAAATTAATGATGGGCGTTTTACATTGGGGAAGATTTGAGTTTTCATCCTATTTTTGAACATAATGTTAGTTTTCCTCTCTGAATTAGTCATGTTTTCTCCTCCAAAGAGCACAGCCTCCTCGTGTACTACCAGCTTGTTAGCACAGACC